GGAGGCTGACTGCAGGAGGCTGACTGCAGGAGGCTGACTGCAGGAGGCTGACTGCAGGAGGCTGACTGCCCTTGGCGTTCCGCAGTGATGCAGAGCCGGGATCCCAGCACCAATGTGGTTCTACTGGAGGATGCCGCTGCTGTCCTTGGGGTCGTTCTGGCAGCCAGCTGCATGGGCCTCACTTCCCTCACAGGTGAGCCAACCTGCCAGCATCCCCTTACTACCTACACTACAGTTACCCAGCTGTTTTCACCTGCAGGTGGCACTGTGCTGCCCTCACAAACCATGTAACGCGGCGGTGGGCTCTGGGCACGCTCAGTAGAGGGTTCTCTGTGTATTTACACTTGTGCTACAATCCATTTGCATATTAACTTCAATAGTTTAGTTGCTCCATGTATACATTCTCCATACTTACAGGGTTTAATGGAATAGGAAGCTGTAATCCACAAATTAACCTGTATAACAAACCTTTTTTAAAAGATATTGTGAATATGTGTGATAGTGATTTAGTTTACTAAACATCGCGTGGCTCGCTGCTCCAGGTAACCCGCTGTACGACAGCCTGGGCTCACTGGGCGTGGGCACGCTGCTGGGTACCGTGTCAGCCTTCCTCATCTACACCAACACTGAGGCCCTGCTGGGCCGCTCCATCCAGGCTGAGCATGTGCAGAAGCTCACCGAGTTCTTGGAGAACGACCCTGCTGTCAGGTCAGCTGCTGGTCCGGCGATCTACATGCCTCTGACCTTGGGTTCTGATTTAGATGCTTGGTCACACACACACACACACACACACACACACACACACACGCTGAGCCCGCAGATCCGTTCTGCCCTGGGACGGTTTAATTCGCTCTCTTTGTTTTGCCCTCGATGGACATGTGGGTAGACACATGTACAGGAGGTATGTGCTTAATGTGTGGCCCTGCCTCTCTCTGGCCATCTGCAGGGCCATTCATGATGTGAAGGCCACAGACATGGGCCTGAGCAAGGTGCGATTCAAGGCCGAGGTGGACTTTGACGGGAGAGTGGTGACACGCTCCTACCTGGAGAAGCAGGACATCGACCAGATCTTAAGTGTACGTTTCTGCAGGGGACGGGAGGCGCAATCTGTATTTGTATTGGATTCCCAAGAAGAAAGGAAGATATTTGGCATAAAACGGCTGTTTTATGTTACATAGAACAGTTGAGTGTATTGGTTGATCCTGGAAAGTAACGCGATGCTGTTGGATAGCAGTATTATAGAGAGTAAAGCTGGTATTTTGTATCTCCTTGGTCATTGATGTTCTGGTGCACTTGACCAGGTCACAACCTCCTTCTTGCAGGACATCCAGCAGGTGAAGACCCCCGAAGATCTGGAGAACTTCATGCTGAAGCATGGCGAGAATATAATCGACACGCTGGGAGCCGAGGTGGACCGTCTGGAGAAGGAGCTGAAGGTACGTGTTCTCTTTTCACCCATAGCGGGGATCTAGAGTCACGTTCACAGATATGTCCTGGGTTCTTCGAGTCCTTATTGAATTTGCAAACTCTCCCAAAATAGTTGTATGTGCTGTTGGCATAGTATAGGTCTAACAGCTCTTATATAAGGAAATCTGCAAATCTGTAGACCAAGGTGGGTTTTTTGTTTTGCTTTAGTTATATGACCTTTAACCCTCCCCCCTCACTTTTAGCATCGCAACCCCGAGGTGCGGCACGTGGACCTGGAGATATTGTGATTGGCCGTTCCTCCTTTGGACGGATGGCAGAACACTCGAGATGCAGGAAAAGCGGGAGAATGTGTGTGTACTGGGCGGATTCAAACCCCTTGTACCCTGTTACCCCAGCCCTCTGAGCCAGCTCATAAGTCTTACTCTGCAGAAGCCCCCCAGCCATGGCCCCCCCGGCTCCGACCCCTATGCACTGGGACCTGCTTCTGCAGCCCAGCCGTGACGGTACAGGAGCTGAGCAGAAACCCTCATCAGGCACGGCTTTCGGTCACTCCTGGGTCCTTCGTCCTCCTAGTCGCCCATCTGCCACTTCCAGGTGTATCGATGACTGGGGCTGCATGGTCTATTAGGCAGGCACCAAATAAGCAAGGTCAGGGGGCCCCCTGCAGGCAGTGGACCGTAATTGAATCACAAGTTGGAAAATATGTCCCTTGGCTGAAGCAGACCGAAGCCAGCTGACCTGGAGCGGCACCTCCTGCGTCGCCAGCTGTGTCGAGCTCCAGCTACGGCCCCTAGGGGGAGCAGTCGTACCTCCCCCGCACTGTCATGTGGGCAAAATCCGTGCAAAATATACAGAGCCACCATCAGGATAATGAAATCTGTGATTCAGGTATTTTATTAAAATACCCCCACCCCCCCAATGTCTCCTAGCCAGCATATCTTGTGTGCATACACACCTTTTAATAAATGATAAATGAGTTTGTAGCATTAAAATGAAGCGCCTAATTCTGAAAATAGTTTTAAAACAATGTTTGCTGTGTATTGAGCTATATCTGAGCTCTCACCAAGTTCAGCCAATCGTAACATGTCTGTTTCATCTAGCTTGTAGACTTACACATCACTTGCAGTTCATGTAATAATACAGTTAAAATCCCAAATATTGCTGTTTGCCACCTGCTTGTCATTGGTTAACTTTCTTAGACCAGGGCTTTTCCGTTCGTCCCCTTGCTGGCTTGCATTTGTCGCTTTTTGTTCCCCTGGCATCATTGGTCCAGTGAGTATCCAGCTGTTTACGTGCGTGATTCATTTTCTCCAAAACAAAACAGTTCAAGTGGATTGTGAGTGAACGAGTGAAATAACCCAAGTTCACCGAAGGGAAGTGAGAAATTTCAGGAGCTAGTTAAGTACCAGAGTATGCTAGATATAAAGACCCAGAGACACGTGGTCTTTCAGGCTACGAGTTTGACACCCCAGCCTGGTGTTGGAGGTGGTGTCAGCCGCTGACGCCCTCCGTGGTGTTGCTGTAACCCAAGAATGTTCTGCCACCTTGTCGTCCGACCAATAAAACAATTTGCCCCAATTAGTGATGGTTTGCCAGGTTGAATGTCCAAAGCTTTTGACTTTGAACGGTGTTCTGGTTACGTTATGAATGTATAATGATAAAGTGAGGTTTAGGAGGATGATGATGGTGATGGTTGGATGCTTGGTAAGATTTCCTTTCTGGAGTGTGTATTGAAGAGTCTCTGGAGAACCTAAAATTGTGGTGCAGGAGCCACATAAATCCACCCGAGGACAAGCAGCCGTATTCCTGGTGTGGTTTTTCTGTCAAACCCTATGCCATACGCGACGTCACCATGAAACTGGGCTGTGCGAAGCCTCATGAGATCGCAGTGCCGTCTGCTTTGGGGTCTCAGTGGTTCTCCAAGAGGTTTGAGGAGTACCTGAAAATTTTCTGTGTTGAGATTAATCAGGTGTTTGCTGAATGGGCTGTTAAAGTAAATTCCGGTTTAATTTATTAAATAAATGTAAAAAAAAAAATGTTTCCCCTATCCTTCAAGCCCCTAAAATGAGTAACAGGTAAGTTTGCATTTAATCCAGGTGTTTAATCCATCCATATAATATCTGGTGAAATATCCATGTGTTTGAACTGAAAGGTGGTGAATTCATGACCACTAAATTCATGGACAGATATGGGTATATTCTACTAGTAGACACAGACTCTGCTGTCCATAAGTGTTATATATTAATATTATTGACAGGGTTGCCAACTCTTGCACATCTGGTGTGACAGGCTTTCAGACTCTTGCGCTCATAAGAAATTTTACGGCAAATCTATATTATTCTGTTATAAACCTCAACATCAAAAGCAACATCAAAAGTGTTGGGGTAGTTTGCAAACCCTACAGACCACCTACAAGGTAATGAATTGTTACATATATGTTAATGCATGTCCATGTGTATGCAGACAAAAGTGAAAACCCCAGTCAGCTGACCAAAGTTGGTGGCCCTGATTATTCGGGTGAGTTCAGCAAATTTCTGTGGTGACTAAACCTTACGAGCTTGTATTCTTGGCCTTAAGCAGTTGGCCTGCTCTTCTGTTTGGCATAAGTGGGAAAGGAAACCTAAATTTAAAAATAGGCCACAAATACCAGAGCATGTCTGTTTTTCTGTAAACTGTGAAGTGTTGTGCTCAATCGTGGGCAGAGCTGTGTTGGCAACGTTACGGTACATCCTTCTCATCAAGAAAATTGCTCATTCATGCCTTTTTGACTTGGGACTGAATAACAGCAATGACAACATCAGCACAAGTCAAAACATTTTACTTTATTTCTTTAAGAGTCTAAGTCAGTCTTTCTATGTTGCCATTCACTCAGAGTTGCGATCAACTCCATGGAAAACAGTTGGGGGGGGGAGGGGATGCACAGTGGTTGAAAATGATAATTACAAACGGGCTCACAGTGTTTATACAATCACCGAGATAGGAAATCCACAATGAATCATTGTGGAGTGGTCAAGTCTGAGCTTGCTAACAGCTGTTGGCCAGATGATGCCTGTAACACAATTAAAAAGCAAAGGCCGATTTGATTTAACACAAAAAAAGGCCGATATTTTTATTCAGGTACCACAGTGTTTGGGGGCAGGATGCAGATCATAACAAAAACTGGAAGAATTGACCCAAATGATGCATTCTCTCTATATAATCACTTTAAAATGCAGAATAATGGCACGAGAGTAATAGGTCATCTTCAGTGCATCTTTGTAGAGTTTGAAAAAGGGCCTGCTACAGATGAGTGGATAACTGGCAACAGTCTGACCTCAGTACCTTGCCCTACAGCAAGGTTCTCATGCAATGAGTGTTAATCAAAAAAATCAGTTTTCGAGCGACAGCCTCAAGCTTTCGTGCTCGGACTGAATTGCCCCACTCCCATCCTTCGAATGGACAGTGGCCCCCCCCCCCCCCCCCCCCCCCCCC